TTGAGTTCACTTGAAGCATATGGCGTGCAACACGACTCACCAGAGAAATATTTGCAATTCAATTCAAGGGCGTACCGCGTGACGCGGAACGGCCATACTTTTCAAATCCCAACCAAGCGACATATTTCAACCCGCCCGCGGGCGCAACCGCAACCGCAACTAGGCGACAACAAAATGGCGGCGGGCTCGCCAGCCGAAATCAGTTCAAGATAACGGCGACGGGGGAGGGGGAGCCCAGTCAGTACTGCAATGACCCCTGAAGAAATCGTAGTGATATAAAAGTAATAACAGTAGTAGTAGTCGCAGTAGTAGTAGTAGTAGTAGTAGTAGTAGTAGCAGTAGTAGTAGTAGTAGTAGCAGTAGTAGTAGTAGTAGCAGTAGTAGCAGTAGCAGCAGTAGTAGTAGTAATACTACTAATAATAATAGTAGTAGCTCGTACGTAGTAGTACGTAGTAGTACGTAGTAGTACGTAGTAGTACGTCGTAGTACGTAGTAGTACGTAGTAGTACGTAGTAGTACGTAGTAGTACGTAGTAGTACGTAATAGTACGTAGTAGTAGTACGTAGTAGTACGTAGTAGTACGTAGTAAGTAGTACATAGTAGTACGTAGTAGTAGTACGTAGTATTAGTACGTAGTAGTACGTAGTAGTACGTAGTAGTAGTAGTAGTAGTAGTAGTAGTAGTAGTAGTAGTAGTAGTAGTAGTAGTAGTAGTAGTAGTAGTAGTAGTAGTAGTAGTAGTAGTAGTAGTAGTAGTAGTAGTAGTAGTAGTAGTAGTAGTAGTAGTAGTAGTAGTAGTAGTAGTAGTAGTAGTAGTAGTAGTAGTAGTAGTAGTAGTAGTAGTAGTAGTAGTAGTAGTAAGTAGTAGTAGTAGTAGTAGTAGTAGTAGTAGTAGTAGTAGTAGTAGTAGTAGTAGTAGTAGTAGTAGTAGTAGTAGTAGTAGTAGTAGTAGTAGTAGTAGTAGTAGTAGTAGTAGTAGTGGTAGTAGTAGTAGTCGTCGTCGTAGTAATAGTAGCAGTAGTAGTAGTAGTAGTAGTAGTAGTTGTAGTAGTAGTAGTAGTAGTAGTAGCTAGTAGTAGTAGTTAGTATAGTAGCAGCAGCACAGCAGCAGCAGTAGTAGTTAGTAGTAGTAGTAGTAGTGTGGTAGTTGGTAGTAGTGGTCACACACTTTTTGATGTGGTTAGTGTTAGTATAGTAGTCAGTAGTAGTCGTAGTCGTAATTAGTAGTGTAGCAGTAGTAGTTAATAGTAGTAGTAGAAGTAGTTAAGAGTAGTAGTAGCAGCAGCAGGCGGGAGTAGTAGTAGTAGTAGTAGTAGTAGTAGTAGTAGTAGGGGTAGTAGTAGTAGTAGTATTAGTAGTAGTAGTAGTAGTTAGTAGTAGTCAGTAGTAGTAGTAGTAGTAGTAGTAGTAGGAGTAGTAGTAGTAGTAGTAGTAGTAGCTGGTGGTAGTAGTAGTAGAGTAGTAGCAGTAGCAGTATCCAGTAGCAGTGTAGTAGTAGTCCAGTATAGTAGTCCAGTAGTAGTCCAGTAGTATAGTGGTAGTAGTAGTAGTAGTAGTAGTAGTAGTAGTAGTAGTCCTAGCAGTAGTAGTAGAAGTCGTCGTAGTAGTGTCCTCTCCCTCTTCCTCTTCCTCATCCTCCTCCTCCTTTTCCTTCTCGTCCTCGTGATTCTCCTCCTCCTCCTCCTCCTCCTCCTCCTCCTCCTCCTCCTCCTAGCGGCGGGGCCGAAACCAGCTGCATGCAGCAAATTTTATCAGCCCCCTCGTCCGACCCGTCGTCCTCGGCGAGTCGAGGACCAGCGAAGGACGTGGCTGGGCCGGGCCTCCGCCGAGGGCCGCGCCGGCGACCGGCGGTCGCCGCCAGCCGCCGACAGGCGCTGGCGACCACCGGCGGCCGAGGGCCGCCGAGGGCTGCCGAGGATCGCCGAGGGCCGCCGAGGGCCGCCAAGGGCCGCCGAGGGCCGCCGAGGGCCGCCGAGGGCCGCCGAGGGCCGCCGAGGATCGCCGAGGGCGGCCAGAGGGCCGCCGCCGACGGCGGCCAGCAGCCGCGGGCGGCGCGGGCGGCGCCGCCTCGGCGCACGTGCGCCCACGGAGGGTCACCGCCGCGCCGCGGGGCGGTGCATGCGAGGCGCGCCGGCGGTCGCCGGGGCGGCGCGCCGGCGCGGGCGTCGCGCGCGCGGCCGGGCGACCCTCTGAGAGGAGCGGGGGAGGGGAGGAGGGGAGGAGGAGGAGGAGGAGGAGGAGGAGGAAGGAGGAGGAGGAGGAGGAGAGGAGAAGGGGGAGGGGGAGGAAGATGGGGAGGAGGAGGAGGAGGAGGAGGAGGAGGAGGACTTCCCCCGTCGTCAACCTCCTCCTCCTCCTGCCTTTTTTCCACCTCCAATTGCGCATTACACGATGGGGTCCTTTTTGGAGCTCAGGTCTACTATGACGCTCGTCGGCGGATGGAGAAAAATCTGCGCACTGGGAAGAGATGGAAGGTAGGGGTAGGATGTTGGGTATGGCGCGAGCGCACCTAGCCTGCATCCCCCCCTCTGCCTCCCCATCCGGCCTCCCCCTCCCCCCCCGCCCGATCGCTCCATAAAGCGGCGAGCTCGGGGGGCAACGAGAAGGAGAAGGCCTTCTCAGAAGGCGGCGGAGCTTCTCGGAAGACCTGCGGCCTTTGGGGAGGCTTTCTGTCTTCGGGGAAGGCTCGGAAGACTTCTCAGAGGGCCGGGGGACTTCCGAGCCTCCTGAGAAGGCCCGCCCCTTCTCGGTAGGCCTGCGGCCGCGTCCTCCCTCCTGTCTCCTGCCTCCCCTCTCCCCCTCCTCCCCCACCTCCTCGGTTCCCCAATCTTCCCCTCCTCCTCCTCCTCCTCCTCCTCCTCCTCCTCCTGCTCCTGCTCCTGCTCCTCCTCCTCCTCCTCCTCCTCCTCCTCCTCCTCCTCCTCCTCGATCCGCCACCGTGCCCCCTGGCACGTTGAGGCGTAGCAGAGAGCGCCAAGTGCTGCCTGATGGAGGTTCGATCATATTTCTGTCAGGGGGGGGGACCGCCCTCTCAGGAAGCACCCGGCGGCGTGCATCGCCCCCTCTCCCCGAGGTCACAAGTCCATGCAGAACACAACAGATTCGCGCCCCCGAGGCCCAGATGCCCTTCAGGCGGCCCCATGTCGCTCCAAGACGGGCCAATTTGGCCTCAAGACGGCCCAGCATGACATCAGGACAGCCCACGAGGCCTTCGAGACGTCCCAAGAAAAAGAAAGAGAGAGCCGCAAGAGCCTTCCAAAGAGGGCCTCGAGAGGCACAAATCCACCGACCCCTTGGGGTCACGGCGTGTGAGATGCTTCCCCCTCCCCGAACCCCTCCCCCAGGAGCCCGGTCCGGCCAGTTTGGAGGGGGGGGGGGGGGGGCAAAGGTATCAATCGCACCCTTAGAGCCTCAGGGGGCCCCAAAACGGGCCAAGAGGGCCCTAAAGGACCCCCGGACGGTCCAAGAGGGCTACGAGTCGCCGAAAAATCGCTCCAAGACGCCTAAGATCGCCTCCAGACGGTCCCACAAGAAGCCACCAAGAGGCGTCCAAAGTGGCCCTCCAGAAGCAAAAATCGCCCCATTCCTTAGAAAACGTATATTTCTAGCACATTCGCCTCTTGGGCTTTCACGAGGCCCACAACGGCCCAAGAAGCCTTGAAGATCGACCCAAGATAGCCCAAGAGGCCCCCAAGAGGGCTCCAAGACGGCCCAAGAGGGTCCCAAGACGGCCCCAGAAGCTTCCAAAACGACCCAGGAGGGCCCCAGGACGGCCCCAAGAGGAAACCCAGAGGGGGAACCCGAATGAACATTTCGAGCACTCGGCCCCGAAAAAACCTGAGGAGGCGCCAATAGGCCCCCAAGAGGCTCCCATGAGGCCCCCGAGAGGCCCAAAAGAGGCTCCTAGAGGCCTCAAAACGGCCCCCAAGAGGCCTCAAAAGTGCTGCCAGGAGAGCCCAGAGAAGACCAAGAGCAGAGCGGCGATCCGCCAACCGTCCCCGACGAAATCCCAAAAAGCTGAAACCCCAAGATCCCCCAGAAAATCCGCTAACTCCGTTTTTCACTCTTACTGCCGCCCCCAGGGGTCGGCGGTGCGGCGTCAGCCAATGAATCATTGATCTTACTTAGGTTGTTCCATTGTTTCGTGTTCTCGCCTTTTCGAGATCGCGACGCACCGGAGACGGCCCAAGAGGCCCCCAATACTCCCCAAAGACGGCTCAAGAGGCCCCCAAGAGAGCTCCAAGATGGCCCACGAGGGCTCCAAGACGACCCAAGAGGCGCCCAAGACTGTCCAGGAGGGACCCAAGAAGAGCAAAATAATGGGAACACGAACCAAGCATTCGAGCCTTCTGCCCCACGAGGCACCCAGCAGGCCCCCTTGCCTTATCGAGCAACTGTCACCCAGAATGCTGCGCTGGCACGGTGGCGGAACTGCTGGAGGCAGGTGGATAAGAAAGTACAAGTGTAAAAAAGTGGTCTCTCACAGCAGCCCTTGGTCCAAGCTGAAACGGGGGCTTCACCCCAAAAAACTTGGGAACACTGCCGAGTTGGACACGGCTGCTGTTATCCAATCGTTTCAGGCCTCTCTGTCGTCCAGCTTGCTGACAGGATTGCTTTAGTCACCTCGGTGGCCGCACCCGCCACCTTGTCGAGTATGTGGGTAGCGCCTGGTTGATGGCAAAAAAAATCGTCCTCGTCATCATCATCCTCCTCCTCCGAGTCCTCCTCCGAGTCCTCCTCCTCGTCCTCCTCCTCATCCTTCCTCCTCCTACTTCTGATCCTCCTGATCCTCCTCCTCCTCCTCCTCCTCCTCCGCCTTACGTCTCCGTCTCCGTCTCCTCCTCGTCCTCCTCCGCCTCCTCCTCCTCCTCCTCCTCACCATCGGTCCCTCCCTCCGTCCCTCCCTCCCTCCGTCCCTCCCTGGCTCTTTTCTGCGCTGGATCAAAAACCACTCGCGCGCCCGCGCGCGTCGCGCGCCCGATGTCCGCGCCGGGCGACTTCTCAGCGGAAGCCGACGGAGGCCTCGGGGAGGCCCGCCGAAAAGGAGGGAAAGGAGCCCCCGAGGAGAAGGAGGAGGAGGAGAATAATAATAATAATCAGAAGAAGACGAATCAGAATACGAATACTAATACTAAGAATATTTCTAATATTACTGATACTAATAATACGAATAGTAATAAGAACAATAACGACAAACATAATAAGAAAACGAACAATACTAAGGATACTGATGCTAATAATAATAATAACAACAACAATAATAATAATAATAATTAATATGTAGAAGAAGACGAATAATAATACGAATGGTCATAATAACAAGCAGAAGAAATAATAATAATACTACGAATCGTAAGAAATTATCCTGGCGAAGGACCCAACCATATGCAGTTGTGAATACCGCAGTTGTGAATACCATCTTCGCCCGCGCTCCCTATGTGGCCACGGCTTCCCGCCGGAGCCCGACATGCTCAGGGACACGTACGTGGCCGTCTTCGCGGGCGCCGACGACGACAAGGACGGCGTCCCTCTCACCGAGGAGCGGAAGCAGGAAAGGGCCTTGAGAGCCATGAGGGAGGAGGTGGCGTTGCACGTCGACAAGGCGGAGTACGACGCCCAGGCGCGGTTGTTGAAGCAGCACAACTATGGGGCCACGATCCTCGTGAGGGGTGTGCCGAAATGGCCCGGGGCCGCCATGCGAACCCTGCCACTGGCGCCTTCGGTGGAGCTCCAGTGGGGCCACGGTCCTCGTGAGGGGTGTGCCGAAATGGCCCGAGGCCGCCATGCGAACCCTGCCACTGGGGCCTTCGGTGGAGCTCCCTATGGGGCCACGATCCTCGTGAGGGGTGTGCCGAAATGGCCCGAGGCCGCCATGCGAACCCTGCCACTGGCGCCTTCGGTGGAGCTCCCTATGGGGCCACGATCCTCGTGAGGGGTGTGCCGAAATGGCCCGAGGCCGCCATGCGAACCCTGCCACTGGCGCCTTCGGTGGAGCTCCCTATGGGGCCACGATCCTCGTGAGGGGTGTGCCGAAATGGCCCGAGGCCGCCATGCGAACCCTGCCACTGGCGCCTTCGGTGGAGCTCCCTATGGGGCCACGATCCTCGTGAGGGGTGTGCCGAAATGGCCCGAGGCCGCCATGCGAACCCTGCCACTGGGGGCAGTCGGCGGAGCTCCCTATGGGGCCACGATCCTGGTGAGGGGTGTGCCGGCATGGCCCGAGGCCGCCATGCGAACCCTGCCACTAGGGCCTTCGGTGGATCTCCCTATGGGGCCACGATCCTCGTGAGGGGTGTGCCGAAATGGCCCGAGGCCGCCATGCGAACCCTGCCACTGGCGCCTTCGGTGGAGCTCGTATTATGGGTCCACGATCGTCGTGAGGGGTGTGCCGAAATGGCCCGAGGCCGCCATGCGAACCTGCCACTGGCGCCTTCGGTGGAGCTCCCTATGGGGCCACGATCCTCGTGAGGGGTGTGCCGAAATGGCCCGAGGCCGCCATGCGAACCCTGCCACTGGCGCCTTCGGTGGAGCTCCCTTATGGGTCCACGATCCTCGTGAGGGGTGTGCCGAAATGGCCCGAGGCCGCCATGCGAACCCTGCCACTGGCGCCTTCGGTGGAGCTCCCTATGGGGCCACGATCCTCGTGAGGGGTGTGCCGAAATGGCCCGAGGCCGCCATGCGAACCCTGCCACTGGGGGCCTTCGGTGGAGCTCCCTATGGGGCCACGATCCTCGTGAGGGGTGTGCCGAAATGGCCCGAGGCCGCCATGCGAACCCTGCCACTGGCGCCTTCGGTGGAACTCCCTACGGGGCTACGAAACGCTGTGCTGGGTGGGTGAAACGCAAGGAGGAGGGGGAGGAGGAGAGGAGGAGAGGAGACGCGGGCCACCGTCTCTTCAAAACGAAGACCCAACACCACAGGATGGTTGGGAAAAACAAGAAAGATAAGAATACCTACGATAATACGAATCGGAAGAAGGAGAAGGAGGAGAAGGACGAGCGGAACAAGGACGAAGAGGAGGAGGAGGAGGAGGAGGAAGAGAAGGAGGAGGAGGACGACGAGGAGGAGAAGGAGAGGTAGGACGAGCGGAACACGGACGAAGAGGAGGAGGAGGAGAACGAGACGGAGGAGGAGGAAGAGGACTAGGAGGAGGAAGAGGACAGGGAGGAGCTTGGGCTGGGGTGCCTCCTCCTCCTCCTCCTCCTCCTCCTCCTCCTCATCATCATCACTCGTCCTCCTCCTCCTCCACAATTACTCAATATGAATACTACTCTCCCTCTTCCCCTGATGACGTCTTTTGCGTATTCGCCCCTCCCCGCGTACTGTTTTTTACACACACACACACACACACGATTCCCCGGAGTTGGGTTTTCGCCTGCGCTTGTTTTCAAAATGCTGCTCTCGCGGAGGCGCTGGCCTCATTTCTGTTCCCGAATCTTTACGGATCGTGCTCCCGCTGCAGCGTGGGCCTCATTTTCGGATCGGTGTTTTGCCTCCGTCGTTCAGGATGGCGTTCTCGCCCCAGCGCGGGCCTCTTTCTCGCGCGCCCATCCGCCCGCCACCACCGCGCCGCACCACGCCCCGCCCCGCCGCACGCACACCCACCGCCACTTCCACCCACCAACGCACGCACGCACGCACGCGCACCACCACCGCGCACCGCCACCACCACCGCACTACCCCACCCACCACCACCACGCTACACCGCGTCACACCACATCACACGCGCGCACACGCAGACACACACGCACGCACGCACGCACGCACGCACGCACGCACGCACGCACGCACGCACGCACGCACGCACGCACGCACGCACGCACGCACGCACACACACACACACACACACGCACACACACACACACACACGCACACACACAGACACACACACACACACACCACCGCCACCACCACCACCGCCATCACGCACGTACGCACCTGGCCCACCACCAAACCACCAAGACGCCACACCACGTCACACCACAGCACACGCGCACACACGCACACACACACACACACACATACACACCACCACCACAACAACCACAACCACACACGCGCGCACGCACGCACGCGCACCACCACCCACTACGCACACGCGCGCGGAGCCACAGGTCCGCTACGACACGCGTCCGCAGATAGAGAAAATCAGCGCCATGGTAAGGGTCAGATGCTGACGCGAGCGCACCTAACTTGTCCTTGTCCCCCTCCTCCTCTTCCGTCTATGTTTCCAGGCTGCTCGCAGTCGCTACCCTGGATTCAGTGCTATTTGTATGACAGGTGAGAGGCAGCTTACCATCGGGTACCACGCGTACCCATTTCAGCCGATGTGGATGAGTTGACCCAGTGCATCCATGGCGCTGTTCAGGAAAGTGCGCCAGGGATGCAGCTACTCGAGAGCTCTGTGAGCTGCTCAAGAAGCGTGGATGCAAGAGTTCATCCAAGTCATGTGTCGCTGTGTCTGCTGAATGTTCCGCTCTGCCTCGTTGAAACTGCGAAGGATCTGGGAATTGGGGCTACCGAGGGGAGGAGAGAGACGATGTAGAAGACGAGACAAAGGAAGGAGGAAATTAAACGTCGATCTAAGAAGCTGGTGTCCCCGCCCAGGCCAACCGTCGTGCGACGAAACTGTGCAAGTAAGGAGTTGCTGCTGTAGGATGCTGGAGCCATCAAGTAATAGGTTCCCCACCCCTCCAGATGCAGCAGTTGAGAGCTCAAGCAGCGAAAGCGTCTGGAAGATGGCAACCTGGGTGTTGTACCACTACACTCCTGGCCTGAGGTCACGCGATGTGTGACGACCTCGCGTATGATATTAGAGATGAACACCTTCTAGAATGGAGCCGGACCGTGAGAGCCCTCGACCCCAGTCAAGTTAGCAGTGTGAAAGTTGTGCGGCCTCGGATTCTTGATAAGCTTCGCGGTGCCCCCAAAGTTCATCGGTGGTGGCATGTTCGGGGGCCTATCGCGTTTGTTATCATGTGTGCGTGTGGGTTAAAACTCAGCGGGAACACCTTGGAACCTCACGAATGACGACGACGTATGACCCTGCGTATTGATCGGCGTGCTTTCCCATTGTCTTTGGAAACTTGTGTACAAGCACGTCAGTACCATGGTCTAGGGGCAAGCGTCTACAGCGTATGGGGGCCAGGGAGTTCATAGAGGTGTTGAGCTTACTGTGCTGAGGAAGCTGCGCAGCTCCCTCGCCAAACAAGGAGACTACGATGGAGTGACTAAGTTGAACCACCTTGCTGCAGATGGCCAATAGCCTGAGATGCGCCTGAAGGAGTCTGGCTATCTCAGCAATGGAACATGTAACCGATGGCGTCCAATGATGGTGTGCCCAGGTCTGAATGTTTCTGGATCCGTGGCCGGACCCGCTGAAGCTCGCGTCTGGGCCTGGGGATATGTTCACGACGCCTCGAGCGCATGTATTAACGTTCGAGGAAAGAGTTGTTGACAGAGGAGGTGTTCCTGGTGCGTGGTTCGGTTGTACCCAGGTTCTCTGCAGGTTGCGGGCATCATCTGTGGCACGCTACATGGTGAGGACCAGAATTCACCCAGAGCAATGCTTTACGCCTTGATCCAGATGCCGCGCCTTGTTGAGGATGACGCTTTGTTGTACATTGACTACCTTCCCATCGCAAAGACAATGAGCAGAACGAACCTCGAGGTCAGTCGCTCATCTGTGCTAGACCTGTAGCAGCGAGCATCATATTTGTTGAACTGCAGGTAGGGGGAGCTCGAGGCACGTTGGTGCAACAATCACACAGCTTGGAAAGACGTTACCGCCCACCGCCTGTCACCCTAAGGATTGGCTGCCAACGGTGTGGCTGACATTTTCGCGGGGGAAGCTGCCAAGTAGGGGCTCCTACCAGAAGATAAAATCGTGAGAATAACAGTATAGATGGGACTTACCTCTCTGTGATGAAGAGGCTCCTTGCTGTCTCTCGGCATGTCTTCCCCACGTGCCCGAGGAGCGGCGAGGATCGTATATGCAGAGAGCACAACAAAGAGGAAGGGCCCAGCTCGATGAATGTACGTAAGCAGAGGCTCACCGAGCAGGGCCGATGTCTCCAAAGCTGGCGGTGTATTCAAAGGTGCTCGCTGTGTTGGCAAGATCCCCGCAGTGAAAGGAGAGCTTGCTAGCTTCTGTCCTGTTCGGTGCCCTGGGGCACTCGTGCTTGGGTCCTCTGAGGCGGCTGGGTTGGGCCCCTCGACGGCTGCGGGCCCGACCTTGGGGAATCCGGGTGGGCATTCATGTTTCGGCCGTACGCATCCGGCGCACGTTCTAGCTGAATTCAAAGGTTTCTGTTTTGACGAGGATGTGGGAATTTCGAGGTCAGCTTTGCACAGAAACTGACCCACCCTTTCACTCCCGAGCCGTCTGCAGCTGGCAGGCGCAACCTCGACAGGCTGGCGGAGGGTAAGCCCCCGAAGTACGGCATGACCTTCCCAGCCCATGAACTGTCTGCTGCCAGGGCCCAGCTTGTACTCGTTCACCCCTGTTTGCTGGAATCGCTGGAACCCTCCTTGTCCGCCTCCTCCTCCTCCTCATCCTCCTCCTCCGCCTCCTCCTCCTCCTCCTCCTCATCACCATCACCATCACCATCACCATCACCATCACCATCACCATCACCATCACCATCACCATCACCATCACCATCACCATCACCATCACCATCACCATCACCATCACCATCACCATCATCATCATCATCATCATCATCATCATCATCATCATCATCATCATCATCATCATCATCATCATCATCATCATCATCATCATCATCATCCTGCTGCTCCTCCTCCTCGTCCACCTCCTCCTCCTCCTTCTCCTCCTCCTCCGCCTCCTCCTCCTGTTCCTCCTCCCCCATGGGCGGGCACAGGGGGGAGGAGGCCAGTCAGTCTGGCCGGCTCTGGGGCCTGACAGCGCGTATTCTGTTGCCACAAGGGTGCATGTCGCTGCTGTGCGGGCCCTGCCGGGACGAGAACCCACCGAGCACCTTTTCACGTCGCGGCGCGGCAGAGGCGATCCGCTCGCGCGTCCAAGCAACCCAGGCTACGGCATTGCGAAGTGTCCCGCGTGCAAGAGGAGGGGCAGGAGAGAGCCCGCCGCAAGGACAGGAGGTGGGAAAGAAGGTGCACCCCCCCGAGCACGTCGCACAGCCAGCTCGCGCCCGCAGCAACCTCACCCCAGGGCTGGCGCGCGGGGGACCGATCTCGTCGGCCGCCAAGCGAAGCTCGGCCGCCGCCCTGGCCAGGGTGCCTGGCTGGTATTGGTACACCGACCCAGCCAGACGGAACCGCCAGGCCAGCGCACCGCCGACCCGCGCACGACGGCACAACACCACGGCACCGCGTGACCGCACGGCACTGCGGCATGGCACGGCACACGACAGCACCGCACCACGGCACGGCAAGGAATCGCACGCCGACTGCGCGCGCCTGGGCGAAGCACCAAACCGCAGCCCTCCCGGAAAGCACAGTAAGCTCAGTCACTACAATCGCCATCGCCGCCACTACTGCCACTCATCCTGCAACTACTCGAGACATGTTTCGTCGGCAGCGAGGCAGAATGGCTGCACCAGCGATAGAGCTAAACGGGGGCACCGAGAAGCAAATTGCCCAGCGTGCAGGAGAGGAAACTTACTCGAAACATATGGTTCAACAAAACTCGAGGACGAAGGTCGTAAGGGGGTGGGCACCCGTGCGAGTGGAAAACCGACTTGGGTGCGGTGAGCTTGCCCGAGAGCTCGTCACGCTGCGCCAACGGCCGAGACCCCGGAGCCAGAGCTGCAGCGCACAGAAAAGTGGCGAGGAAGGAGAAAGAGAGAAGACCAGAAAGCAGGGTCAGAAAGGGTGCACAGACAAGGTGAGAAGAGGAATGAAGTCGCTTCACACTGGGAACACCCTGTAGGTTTGGTAGACAGCACGTCGTTGAGGGACGAAGATCGAAGGACCAAGATTGAAGGACGAAGATCGAGGCACGAAGATCGACGACAAGTCCTGTCCAGCTCGAAGCAGGGCTCGCCGCTGGAGTCGCCGCGGGCGCCGTCGCGACGGCGGCCGCTGCTGGTCGTGGGACAGCACTCGCTGCTGGGCACAGCCCACGCTGCTTCCGCCCCCACTGAGGAGGATGCGCGGGGGGCGGGAGGAGGAAGAGGAAACAGGAGAAGGAGCAGGGAGGAGGAGGGAGGAGGAGGAGGAGAGGAGGAGGAGGAGGAGGAGGAGGAGGAGGAGGAGGAGGAGGAGGAGGAGGAGAGGGAGGACGACGAGGGGGAGGGAGGAGGGAGGAGGGAGGAGAGAGGCGGTGGGCAGCTGCGCCGAGGCCGCCGGCCCCGCAGACGAGGAGGGCGGGCCTGCCACAGGAAGGCCAGGAGGAAGAAGAAGATCGGCAGGATGGGCAGCACGTCCACCTCCCCTAAAGGAGGGGGGTCGGAGACCTCCACGCTGGAGGAGGAGAAGGACGAGGGGGTGGTGGAAGAAGATGGTGGTCCACCTCCCCAAGGGGGGTCGGAGACCTCCACGCTGGAGGAGGAGAGGGACGAAGGGGTGGTGGAGGAAGATGGTGGTCCACCTCCCCAAGGGGGATCGGGGACCTCCACGCTGGAGGAGGAGAGGGACGAGGGGGTGGTGGAGGAAGGTGGTGGCGGAGGAGGATGGGCAGCACGTCCACATCCCCAAGGGGGGGTCGAGAGCCTCCGCTCTCGAGGACGAGGGGGACGAGGAGGTTTGGTGGAGGGAGATGGTGGTGGTGGTGGCGGTGGAGAAGGAGGAGGGGCAGCACGTCCAGACCCCCAAGAGGTGCTAGGGGGTCTCCACGCGAGAGGAGGACAGGGACGAGGAGGTGGTGGAGGGAGGGAGGGACGACGAATGACATAGGACGGAGGGGAGGGAAGAGGAGGAGGAGGACAAGTGCAGACCAAAGACTCCTCAGCGATGTTACAATAAACCCTCCCTCCAAGTTCCCACTTCACAGGCCCCGACGTGGGTTCATTTTCGTTGAGGTAAATGCCCCGTTGGAAGACAACCGTCTGAAAATCTTGACCTGTGCCAGAACACCAGTTCTCGGACCTCAACGCCGCGAATCACCGTTACCGTTGCGTCTTGACGATCTTGGACCGTGCCAGAACACAACTCCTGGGACTTGAACACCGCGACTCAACGTAAAGACTCGCCCTGACACTCCGACATCGTACCAAAACGCCATTTCTGGGATGGTAACCATGAGATTCCTTGAGACTGTTGTAAACTCCTGTGACGAAAGAGCGCGGCGCTAAGGCGAGAGTCACATTTTGAAGAAAAGGGGCTGCCTCCCATCTGTGAAACTCTGGCAATTTTACAATGAGACGAATTCGCGCGGCGCTAAAGCGAGAACCACAGTCTGAAAGCGGACCGCCCTCCACCCATGAACCATCTGCCAGTGTTAAAAATGGACTTGTGCAGCGCTAAGGCGAGAACCACATTTTAGAAGCGGCCCGCCCGCCGTCCGTGAAACTTCTGCATTGTTTGAAACGAATGCGCGCGGCGCTGAAGCGAAAGCTGCATGTTGAAAGCGGTCCGCCCTCCAGTCTTGAAGCTCTTCCTCAACTTCAAGATCACACATGGTGCGGAAGTCTTAAGCGAAACGCCCGACCCGACCTACCGACACGCCTCGGGGTGCAACAGGGAGGAGATAGTTAGAAGGAAAAGGAGTGGAGGACCAGTGTTAAATCAGGTCGCATCAGTGATGTCGAAATAAACGCACACCTCAAAATTCCCTCTTCACAGGTCCCTGCAACACCAGCCCTTTGAGCGAAGGCGGTCTAACGATGTTTTTCTTGCTTCTTCCCTTCGGGAAAGGGTACCCTCCCCCATCCTCTCCCTGAGGTTTGTTAGGGGGGGTCACGAGGGGTTCGAGCGCCCGAGGTTGTCCAAGACGGCTCCAAAATGGCCTCCGAAGCGGCTCAAAATAGCTGAAGGACGTTTGCCTTCTTGCCGTTTCCCTGCCGGTGCGCGTCTGAGGCCTCAGGATTGCCCCAGCCCCCAAGACAGCCCCAAGAGGGGGCCCACGAGGCCTCCCAGACGGCCCCAATGGCGCCCGAGCGCGCCCCAAGAGGGCCCCAGGAGGGGCCCGAGAGGCGATTTTGATGGCCCCCGGGGGGGGGGCAAATCGAGGACCCCCCTCCTTGAACCGATAGCTTCCAATATGGCCGCAAGAGGGCCCCACGAGGTCCGCAAGAGGGCCCCCAAGAGGGCCCCAAGAGGGCCCACGAGGGCCCCAAGAGGGCCCTGCTCCTCCTCCTCGTCCTCCTCCTCCTCCTCATCCTCCTCCTCCTCGTCCTCCTCGTCCTCGTCCTCGTCCTCCTCCTCCTCCTCCTCCTCCTCCTCCTCCTCCTCCTCTTCCTCCTCCCCCTCACCCCCAAGCGGGCCACAGAGATGGCCCGAAGAGGCCCTCCAAGTCGACCCCCGTGCTCCCAGAGATCTCTGCGGTCATCCTGGTTGCCTGGTTTGTTTCACTACATGTTTATTTTTTCGTCCCTTTTCTCGTCAGCTCTCAGGGGCAAGGTTTCTGAACGGGACTGGTGGGGATACTTTTCGGTTGGCGGCTCCCAGGCGAATGTCAAGGAGCGGGGCATCGAACGGGGCGCGAAGCGAAGATAATTGGCCGCAGTGGCATACGCACGCGCGAGGGACAAAATGACCCTAATTACACGCCAAGGCCGGCGCAGACATCCCAGCGATTGGGGACTTCTACGCGGCGACCGGCGGCGAGACGGCGAGGGAAACGCCCTAAAGGCGCCAGGCACCAGCCAGCTCAACGTGACCAGGTGATCAAGCCGAGCATCCCGACGGGTGGGGAAGAGCGCGGCGACCGGCACAGGGACGGTACTGGACCGGCAAGAGGAGCTGGTGGGGATACGCGAAGAGTGAAGAATTGAATTTCAGCGCGGGAAGCGCCCCATTGAAAGACAATCGTCTGAGAAACCTAAGTCGTGTCAAAACACCGCTCCGGAATGACACCGCCGCGTATCCACATGGCTGTTGCGCCCTGCCCAATCAGTAATCGTGCCAGAACGCCATTCCTGAGACTCCGACACGTTGTTTCAACGTGACTCTTGCGCCCAAATCGTGCTCGAACTCCTGGTACTTCAATCCTGCGAATGCTGTAAACGGTTGCAATCTTGTTAAACGAATGTGCGCGGCGCTAAAAAAATGCAAATGGGCAAGTACACACCGTGCAAGCCGGTCACCAAAGAGAGGGAGGGAGGGATAGGCGGCCACATGTGTGCCCGGCAGTACTCTATTCCCTGGTTCGATGGCTTAAACACCGGTTAAATAGGGTTTTCCCCGGTCGACCAGGGAAATGAGCAGTGGTCGGAAAACCTCAAGAGCCGAGAAACAAGATCAATACCCTTAAGGAGACAGCACAGATTCCAGAACAAATGACGGGGAATCACCCAACTGCCGGGATTTAGTAGTAGAAGTACAGGGAGTAGAAAAAGTAGTAATAGTAGTAGTAGTAGTAGTAGTAGTAGTAGTAGTAGTAGTAGTAGTAGTAGTAGTAGTAGAAGTAGAAGTAGTAGTAGTAGTAGTAGTAGTAGTAGTAGTAGTAGTAGCAGTAGCAGTAGTGGTAGTAGTAGTAGTAGTAGTAGTAGCAGGAGTAGTAGTAGTAGTAGTAGTAGTAGTAGTAGTAGTCGTAGTATTAATCGTAGTATCGTAGTCGTACTGGTGGCAGTAGTAGTAGTAGTGGTGGTAGTAGTAATAGTATTAGCAGTAGTAGTAGTAGTAGCAGTAGTCGCAGTAGTAGTAGTTGTTGTTGTTGTTCGTTTGTGTGGTAGCTACAATAGCAGTGGTAGTGGAAGTGGTAGTAGCAGTAGTAGCAGTAGTAGAGTAGTAATAATAACAGTAGTAGTAGTAATAGTAGTAGTAGTAATCGTAATAGTAGTAGTAGTAGTAGTAGTAGTAGTAGTAGTAGTAGTAGTAGTACTAGTACTAGTAGTAATAGTAGTAGTAATAGTAGTGATAGCAGTAGAAGTAGTGATAGCAGCAGTAGTAGTAGTAGTGGTGGTAGTAGAAGTAGTCGTAGTAGTAGTAGTAGTAGTAGTAGTAGTAGTAGTGAACATAGTGATAGTAGTGATACTAGTGGTAGTCATAGTAGTAGTAGTAGTAGTAGTAGTAGTAGTCGTAGTAGTAGTAATAGTAGTAGTAGTAGTAGTAGTAGTAGTAGTAGTAGTAGTAGTAGTAGTAGTAGTAGTAGCAGTCGTAGCAATAGTAGTAGTAGTAGTAGTGGTAGTGGTAGCAGTAGTAGTAGTAGTAGTAGTAGTAGTAGTAGTAGTAGTAGTAGCGATGGTAATAGCAGTAGTAGCAGTAGTAGTAGTGCTACTGCGAGTAGTACTGGTAGTAGTCCTTAGCAGCGGCAGTAGTTACAGTCAGTTGATTGTGTGGCGCTTGCGTGGTAGAAATAGCGGCATCTGAGAGGCATCTTAGAGGCCTCATAGTGGCCATGTAGATGCTTCTTAAAGTCTTTCAGGCCTCTAAGAGGCTTCTCAGACGCCTTTAAGACACCTCTTAGAAAACTTTCAGAGGCCTCTAAGGCCTCTAGAAGCCTCTAAAAAGAAGCCTCTACTGGCCACTTAAAAGCCTCTGAGAGGTCTCTTAGAAGCCTCGTAGAGGCTTCTTCGAGGCTTCGTACAAGCCTCGAAGACTTCTAAGGGGCTTCTTAGAGGTCTCCTAGAAGCCTCTAAGAGGCTTCTTAGAGGCTTCTATGAGGCCTCTTTGAAGCCTCTTTAGAAGCCACTAAGCAGCTTTGTAGAAGCCTTTTAGAAGCCTCCTAGAACCTCGTAGAGTCCTCTAAGAAGCCTCTTAGAAGCCTCTGAGAAGCTTCTCCGAGGCCTCTAAGAAGCCTCTTAGAGGCCTCTTAGAAGCCTCTAAGACCCCTGAACGATGCCTCTCTGCGACGAATCAGATTTCCTCACGTCTCAGAAAAAGTAACGGGGGAATAAACCAGTTTGACTGGGGAAACTCCATTACACCGGTGTATATACCATCAAACCAGTGTTTACAATTCGACCATATGAGCCCTACCCCTGCACATGAACGTTCTGCAAACAGGGCTCAGACCATGAAGAATGTCTACAGCCAGGCGAATCCCAGCGGGGGGGCCAGATACCCCAGCGTCGACTGGACCCGTGGGGGTAGGTTTCGCAAGTGGTCGCGGAAGAAGGTAGACACACTCAAAAGACAATGAGCACAACGCCTGGACTTCTGCGGACGACGTGGATGGGCAAGCAGACAACGTGCATTCCTGTCACCAGAGAGTAGAGGCCTCCCGAATGGGATCCGAGTAGATGGGGTCGGAGAATCTCGCTGCATCGCCGATGCATCGCCGACACACCCGCGATGCATCGGCGAGGTCAGCGATGCATCGGCGCCGGTAGCGCGGAGAAAATCTGGTTCCACGCACGATCATCCGATACCATCTACTCCGACCCGATGTGGGAGGCCTAGAGAGGGAAGGAGGGAGGTGGGAGGAAGGTACAGTCGAACCGAAGCCAGAAGAACATCCTTCAAAAACATGAGACCCTCCGCCAGCCAAAACAGCCCAAATCATAAGATCACCCAGGGTAACCTTCCGCTGCGTCACGCGATCTTCGCTGCCTAGCCTCATTGGGAACATGCACTGCACCGGGCCTGGACTCTTTCCGGGCCCCGCTCCCGGGCCGTACGGTCCATGGGGGAACAGACAATGACATGAGCATACAAACTCGGAGGCCCGCGCGGGTTTCTCGGATCGGCGCTGCTCCGCGCGCCGAGGAGGGGGTCCACCGCCGAGCCGAGAAATCCGCACGGACCTCATGCTTCCCCGGTGCGGCCCATAGCTCTCTTCGGCTCCGAGGGCCGCCAGACTATGCACCGCGCCGATCAAGGGTCGAGGATCGACGACGCCTCGGCAGACGCCCACGCAGCACGGTGCGCACGCAGCCGCTATACTCCCCGGGCCTCTCCCGGGGCGCGTTCTGACCTCCTGCAAGGGCGAGGGCCCAAGAAGGCGAAAACGTGGCAAGGGTAGCGGTATCGGTACCTTTTCTTCCTCCAGCGGTGGGAAGACAGGGTGCAGAGGGATCCCCCCCCCACGATCGGCGCCCCCCAGACGAACTCGTCCGGCAGGCGCGCGTGCGCAGCCCCAGGCGCGGCCAGGGCCACGCCAGCCTCGCGCGCGCCGGCAAGGGGCTCGACGACGACGACGACGAGGACGACGACGACGACGACGACGACGACGACGACGACGACGACGACGGACGACGACGACGACGATGACGACGACGACGACAACGACGACGGCGGCGGCGGCGGCGGCGGCCGCGGCGGCGGCGGCGACGGCGGCGGCGGCGTCGACGGCGACGGCGACGGCGACGGCGTCGGCGACAGCGACGGCGACGACGGCAAGTCAAGGCTTCTGACGCGCTTGGCCTACTCTGGGCCTCTGGGAGCCTGTCCCAGGAGGCCTCTGGAGAGAACCGGGCCACCCATAGGACCAGAAACCTCCATCATGGAGGTCGAGCCTCCATTTCTGCTGGAAGAGAAACCTCCAGAATGCAGAACAAAAACATCTCCGGAAGGGAGACCGCGCGCCTGTTTTGAAGTGGCTGCACACCCTGGGACTACGTGCCTTGGGACTCCGCGGACCCAGCATCTCCAACGATGCTACATGTGCCGAATCCGCGGCCCCCAGGGCTCCCGACCACTCCCCCAGCGATCTGTTGTTCGTCCTGGATCCCTCTTGATGGTCGCGGGGCCTGCGAAAGAGTACCGATAATAGAAAATCGGACGGGTGGCAAGGTGGGGTGACCTAAATTGGAGGTGAAGAAAAGGGCCCTGATGGAGGCTTTAAACCCCTTTTGGAGCAAGCAGGGGCCCACAAGGAACCCCTAAAGGGCCCCCTTAGGGCCCTTCATTCACCCTCAATTTAGGTCACCCCCCACTACCACCCGCCCGAGAACAAATAATCGTCGGAACTCTCGGGAGACCTCTGGAAGACTCCGGGCGCCTCTGGGGAAGCACCGGGCGCCTCTGGCGGGGAGCTTTCAGCCCGGGGCCCCTCGCTTGAGGCCCCTAGGGGCCGTCGCTGGGCACTGGGACCGCCGCCACAGCAGGATCAGGAGGAGGAGGAGGAGGAAGAGGAGGAGGAGGAGGAGGAGGGAGAGGAGGAGGAGGAGGAGGAGGAGGAGGAGGAGGCCCTTCCTTGAATGTCGGCGGCGAGCCCAGAGTGGGGGAAGTGAGACCTTCTCAGAAAGCTCAGAAGTCCCCTGGCCTTCTGAGAGGTTTTCTAAGCCTTCTGCGACGACGCAGAAAACTTCTCAGAAGGCGCGAGGGCTTCTGAGAAACCCCGCCGCCTTCTGAGAAGGCCTTCTCCTTCTCACTTCTCCCAAGGCAGGTGTGGCCAAGGGAAGTGATGAAGCCCGCTCCTGCATGTGCAAAATGTCTGCTGGACAGATATTGCTGCCATTCTGGCAGAGACCTGGAGAGGCGTATCGCAGCAACACAGCCGAACGCGATGAGTTCACCTTCTTTGCTTGCGTGCGTGCGCACACGGCTGCTTACTTCTGGAGGCGTTTCCTCAGAAACACGGGGCGGACAAAGGGAGGGGGGATAGCAAAGAGGGAGGCAGGGAATTAGCGCTAGTTTTCCAGCGCCTCCAGGCGGCAGAGGCGCCTACGTATCAAGGAGTGCCCGCAGCGCCTTGGCCGAAACCAGCTGCATACAGCAATCTTCGAGACTCCACCTTTCCCAATCCCCCTCCTTCCACCTGATCCGAGAAGCAGAAGTCCTAGAGATCCGACGCCGTGATCTGTTCCAAACGCAACGCCCCGAACTCTCTCCGTGGGAACGTAAGCCTTTGCAAGCTCTCAGGGACAGATTGGGGTAGAGCTTCGGGTTCGAGAAGCCGCTCCCAGATGAGCTCCAGGAATGCTCCAGGAAGGGCCTGGGAAAAAGACACAACGTGCGTCCACTAGTGCCCTGGGGGCCTGATTGCTTCTTCTTGGGGCTCTCTCCGGCGTTGTTGGGGCCATCCAGAAGCCTCTGGGGCACATCGGCAGTGTGAGGGCGAGCTCTTCAAGAATGCATGCTTCCCTCCGGTCTTCTAAAACAAACTCTGCCTCCCGCGCCCCTCGAGGAGGCCTCTCGGGGCCTCTCTCTTGGATCTCTGGGGGCCTCTCGGGGGGCGCCGTGGAGACGTCTTTGGGGGCCTAATGGGTGGCAACTCCGGGCCGTCCGGAGGCCTCCCGGGCCGTCTTGGGAAGTCTTGGGTCTTGGGGCCGTCTTGGGATTTCCTGGGGGCGTCCTGGGGCCTCTTGCGGGCCTCTTGCGCTCGGCTCTTATCAAGAACGCCCTGGGGGCGTTTTTGACAGTTTCTGCATTTTGGGCTCTTGACAAACTAAAAACGCTAAAAAGCGCTACGTGTACTTGGCGCTTTTTTACTGCGTGCTTTTTGCGTTGTCAGGCTCGTCGCTGTGGATTGTCCATGCTTTAGCGTTTCTTGATTCCTTGTCAAAGGCTGCTCCTGCCGTCTTGGCTCCCACTCCCGTTCCTGCCGCCCCCTGTTCCTCCTGCTCCGCGCGCGCAGCCAAAAACGTCCCCAACAAAAATCCCGAACGACAGTCTGACACCGACGAGGGACAGGCCTTGAGGCCCCGCGACCAGTCAGCAGCGACGACCAGAGAAGAGCAAACTTGTTTTGAGAAAGATATAAAGAGGACTGGACGCAAGGAGGATGAACTGAGGACGTGAAAGACGGCAATGTTACACAGCACAATCAACGGATACCTACACGCTTTAAACAAAAACGAAACTCAAAACGCAAAAACAAAGATGCGTTCGATGAGGCCTGAAGGCGCTGAACAAAATGGCTTCCAACACGACGAGCGTAAGAATGGCTTAAACGAAGGCCAAGTGCAGATTTCAGGGAACCTAGCTCTTGTGGGCATCTTGGGGGCCTCCTGGGGGCCTCACGCACGCAGCACACACGCAACGAAACAGACACGCCACGGATACGCAGCAGGACACACGCGCCACGGAGGCGCAGCAGGAGACAGATGACGCAACGGAGACGCAGCAGAAGGCGCGGAACAGCGACGCAGCGGGACGCACACACACACACACACACACACACACACACACACACACACACACACACACACGCACACACACACGCGCACACACACAAGAAAGACACAGAATACAAACGACGCATGAGGAGGAAGAGGAGGAGGAGGAGGAGGAGGAGGAGGAGGAGGAGGAGGAGGAGGGTACCCTCTGGGGTCGGAGGGCTCCCAATGGCAGTTGAGCTCCCAATCTTCGATCCCTCTTGGGGCCCTTTGGGGGCCTGCTTGGTGCGTCTTCGGCGCCTCTTCGGCCGTCTTTGCACCCTCTTGGGCCGTCTTCGGGCCCTCTTGGGGGGGTTCTCGGCTTGTCTTGGGGCGGTCCAGGGGGCCCATTGGGCCCGTTTTTTTTGTGTGAAGGTCCCGAAAGCGAATAATTATGCTAGAAATGTAGACTTTCCATCGGGAATGGGCAGGTGTGTGCCTCTCGAGGCTCTCGTGGGTGTCGTCTTGGAGCTCTATTGGGGCGTATTCGCGGTTTCTGGTGCCTTTCGAGACGACTCGTTAGCGGTCTGAAACTCCTGGGGGCAGTCTTCGGGGCGACACGGGGACCTCTTGAGCTGTCTTGACGGCGGTCTGAGCGATGTGGAAGCGGACCCGGGCCCCCCTGGAAGCTTGCCGGGCAACTGGCACCCACATTTGTGGTAGAAGTAGTGGCCCTGGATATATGTATAGGTGGGTAATGTGTCGCTATTTGTCTGGGCCTTGTCCGCTGCGAGTGCCTGGGTACGAAAGGGTCTGGGTATGAGTGGGTCTGAGCAGCAGAGACTGAAAGCGGGTGAGTCTGAGTGTGGGTGGGTCTGTGTGTGTGAGCGAATCTGGAATCTGGATGCGAGTGATTATATGTGTATGAGTGTGAGTATGGCAAAACCTAGGGTAAGTGTATATGAGTGTGAGTGGTCTGAGTGTTGGAGTGAAGGTCTGAGAGTGCGTGAGTGGTCTGAGTGTGAGTGGTCTGAGTGTGATGGTGGGTTTGAGTGGTCTGGCTGCATCTGAGTCTGAGTGGTCTGACTGTGAGGGTGAGTCTGAGTCTGAGTGAGTCTGAGCGTGAGCTGCGGCTCAGCATATCCGAGAGTGACAGAGTCTGAGCATGAGAAAGTCAGAGTGCGAGTCTGAGCGTGAGCGGGTCTGGGAATGAACGACCTGGGGCGGAGCAGGCGGGAGGAAAGAGAAGAGAGGAAGCACGTCAAAACACACACGGTTTGAGCTCACGGGCGACAGGGTCCCACATAAAAAAATTAGCCTGGCGAAGGACCCAACCATATGCAGCTGTGGGCACCGTCGTTATATGCACGGCATTCGCAGGAACTCTGTATGGGCCCACGAAACTTGTGAAGGTTTACCAGAATGGGGGCGGTGGCCACATGCGAGCGCTGGCATCTGGACCTTCGGTGGAGCTCCCTTTAGGGCGACGAAACGTGTGAGGGGTGTGCCAGAATGGGCGCGGTGACCGCATGCGAACGCTGGCATCTGGGGCCCTCCGTGGAGCTCCCTGTGGGGGCACGAAACGTGTGAGGGGTGTACCATAATGGGTGCGGTGGCCGCATCCGGTCGCTGACATTTGGGCCTTCGGTGTGGCTCCCTGTGGGGCCACGAAACGTGTGAGGGTTGTGCCAAAATTGGTGCGGTGACCGCATGCGAACGCTGGCCTTTGAGTCTTCGGTGGGGCTCCCTGTGGGGCCACGAAACGTGTGAGGGGTGTACCAGAATGGGTGCGGTGGCCGCATGCGAACGCTGGCATTTGGGCCTTCGGTGGGCTCCCTATGGGGCCACGAAACGTGTGAGGGGTGTGCTGAAACGGGTGACGACGATGATGATGAGAGGAGGGAGGGGGCATCGGGAGTGAGGACGCGGGGCGCTGTCTCTTAAAAACGAGGACCCAACACCACAGGATGGTTGGGAACAACACACGCACACACACACACATACACAAGATCGAGCCCAAGGAGAGGGGCAATCTAAAAGAACATACTTAAAGCACCTAGGATTGAGCCCCAAGAGAGGGGCAATCGAGATAGGAATATTTGTGTAACGCACACGATTCGAACCCCAGGAAAGGGGCTATATACATAGAGAGAGAGAGAGAATATATATATATATATAGGAACAAGCGTCAAAAACATCGGATTCGAGCCCCCCATGAGAGGGGCAAGATACAGCAACACATGTAAACACTTCGGATTCGAGCCCGAGGAAAAACAACACATAGGAGCATGCGTAAAAACCACTAAGGATTCAAGCCCCACATATGCAAAATACCTGGAATTCGAAAGCCCCAGGAGGCACCCCGGAGCCTCCTGGGGCTTCCTTGGGCTTCCTGGGGCCTCCTGGGGCCTCCTGGGGCCTCCTGGTGTCTCCTGGGGCCTCCTGGTGCCTCCTGGAGTTCCCTGTGGCCTCCTGGGGCCTCCTGAGCCCCCCTGGAGTCGTCCGGGACCTCCTGGAGCTTCCTGTTGCCTCATGGGACTTCTTGGGGTTTTTGGGACGGGCCTCCTGTTGCCTTCTGTGGCCTCCTGGGGCCTCTGGTGCCTCCTGGGCCCCCCTGGAGTCGTCTGGGACTCCCTGGGGCTTCCTGGTGCCTCATGGGACTTCTTGATGTTTTTGGAGCCTCCTGGGGCTTCCTGGGGCCTCCTGGTGCTTCCTGGTGCCTCCTGTGGCATCCTGTGGTATCCTGGGACTTCCTGGGCCCCCCCTGGAATCGTCTAAAACCTCCTGGTGCCTCCTGGGGCCTTCAGGAGCCTCTTGGAATCTCCTGGGGCCTCCTGAAGCGTCCTGGAGCCTCTTGGTGCTTCCTGGGGCCTCCTGGAGCCTCCTGAAACCTCCTGGGGCCTCCTGGGGCCTCCTGGAGCCTCCTGGGACCTCACCCGAAAACAAGCAAACCGCCCGAGACATCCCCACAATCTGGGGCGAAACCAGCGCCTCGCCTGAGACTTCCTCGCAAACAGCTCCCGAAGCGAAAAATGTTGGACAACCACACAAACAAACCGCCTGAGACATCCCCACAATCTGGGCGCGAATGGGCCCGTGTGATACCCCCCAGCCGCCCCCCCTTGGGAGTGCTGAAACCAGCGCCTCGCCTGAGACATCCTCACGAACTCTTCCGAAAGCAAAAGATTTGGGGCAGTCAAACAGGCAAAACGCCTGAGACATCCACACACTCTGGGCGCGAACGGGCACGTGTCATACCCCCCTGTCGCGCCTCACTCGGGAGTGCTGAAACCAGCACCTCGCCTGATACATCCTCACCACGATATGTGTGTATGAATGATTATCAGCCGTCATCAGTTCCATCATCAGCCTCATGACGATGATGATGTTCATCATCATCACCACCACCACCATCATCACCACCACCACCATCATGATGATGATTACCATCATCATACTTATCATGTTCGTGAGGGTCGTCATCATCATCATCATCATCATCATCATCATCATCATCATCAGCATCATCATCATCATCATCATCATCACCACCATCGTCATCATCATCATCATCATCATCATCATCATCATCATCATCATCATCATCATCATAATCACCACCATCATCATCACCACCATCACCATCATCATCAGCAACAGCATCATCATCAGCATCATCATCATCGTCATCATCATCATCCTCACCATCATCACCATCATTATCTGCATCATCATCTGCATCATCAGCATCATCATCAGCACCATCATCACTATCATCACCATCATCATCATCATAATCATCATCATCATCATCATCACCATTACCAGCATCACCATCATCATCATGATCATCATCATCATCATCATCATCATCATCATCATCATCATCATCATCATCATCATCATCATCGCTATCATCATCACAATCAGCAACAAGCATCACCAGCAGCATCGGCAGCATCGTCGTCGCCATCGTCATCGTCATCGTCATCAACATAGTCATCATCATATTATGACCTGCGTAGTGACCATGAATACGACTCTGCAAAACACCATCATCAGCCGCATTATCACCATCGTCGTTCTTCTGTGAGGAAGAGGAGGGAGTGAAGGAGGAGTCGGCGCGGCCAGAGAAATAGCAACACCATCCGTGGGAGATGGGGAACAAAAAAGAGACAGAACGAGAGAAAGAGAGAGAGAGAGAAGAAAACAGAGAGAGAGAGAGAGGGAGAGAGAGAGAGAGAGATCCCCTTCTCCCCCCTCTCCCCCCCCACCCCCCAACACACCCCCGCGGTCCGCTGCGAGCTGTGCGGCGTCAGCGCGAGGCGCCGCTCCGCGGAGTGATGCCTCGCCTCGGGGTCCAAGGGGGAACAGTGGAGAAGGAGAAGCAAGGAAGAGGAGGGAGGAGGAGGACAAAAGAGGAAGGAGGACGAGAGGATGAGGAGGAGGAAGACAATGAGGAGGAGGAAGAGGAGGAGCGAGGACCAGCGCATCTGACTGAGTTCATGTCTGTCTTGCTTATTGTATCTCCCCAAGCGCAGCCTGCGCTTCCTTGATCAACATATCGAGGGTTATGGGGGGCTGAAACAAGGCCTGTTCCTCATGCCTCCCCTGGGGTGGTGGCAGGATTTGAAGCAATTCAAGGCTGTGATATTATTCTTGCTGGTGGGGCGCCCAAGGCACCCACTCTTAAAAGCCTTGGGGTAAAACTCGCTGTATGCGCCGCAGGACCAGCAAGCCAAAACACAGCTATCGTTATCGAGGCGGTCGAAAACGTAAACGTCGTGTCCGTTCCTGTGTTCGGAAAGGGCCGACAAGCTCGCGCAGTGCCCAGGGCAACGCCTGGCGTCTTTACGGACTCGGGCGGCCTCGGATCGCGCTCTGACTCGGCAGAGATCGCACATCCTGAAGCCTTCAGACAAATCTGCCCACTGGCGGGCGCCGCCTTGCTCTTGGTCGCCCTCGCGAGGGACGCCAGCGTCGAACCAAGGGACCTCAGAAGGTCGGAGGTCGGAGGCAGGAGAGGGGCGAGGACGGCGGCGCCCACCAGGGGCTTCCTCTCGGGCTTGAAACCGGGCCCTTCACAGGCCTTGCTGCCAGGTTTCGGGGCAATCGCGGGCCAGGCCGGCGCAAAGCAACGCAACAGGAAACCATGGCTCGCGTCATAATCTTGGATCTCAGGGGTCGAGGGACCTCCAGCTTTGCCGGCAGCCGCTTCAGCTAAACTATCAGCGGCATCGTTTCCCGCGGCCAGGTATTTATCCCTGGACCCTGGGGCCAAAACTTTTAAGTCCTGGTGCGCCTTGACCTTACATGTCGTAAGAAGGGTTCCCCCGCTATGTTTACCCTTGGCGAGCAGTTCTAACCCCGCATATGTATATATATATATATCCTTCCGATCGAAATCCGCCTGGCCATACTTTGACATGGCCCCTGGGTGGTGCGAGTGGACGCACGTGAGCCGGGGGCACAAATGGGCGACGGCCATGGCCGGGTGCTCGGCTGCAGGCGAGGTGGGCGGCAGCAGCTCCCCCGTCTGTCCCGAGAGATGCGCCTTGCACTCGCCCTCCTCGTCTAACACAGCGACGGCAAATCCAGTCTAATGCCAGATCGACGGGGCCCTGTTTTAAACAACTTCCGCCAGCAAAACCTCCCACAGCCATCGCATACTCGAGCGGACCACCGCTTCGGAACCAAAACTTCCAAGAGAAGCCGAATCCCTCGGGCCGGTTCACGCAGGCTGGGGGAAGAAACTGAAAACCATGGGCTAGGGGAGCTGCTCGGGGGCACCCGCCCATATAGGATTCATCTGGGGGGGTCAGCATCTCACTTCTCAGGTTGAAGACGAGGGGACACTCGAACCCATGCGCAATGTCGCCCCGCTCGTGCCCGCACGGACACGTCGCGTCAATGTCGTAACCTGCTGCGGCCAGCCTTGTTCTCGTCCACAGACGCTGGGTAAGGAAGGACATCAGGCCGCTGTTCTCGGAATTGGTAAGTTTGGGATCGTCGAGGACCTGCCTGGCAGCAGTGACGTCTAACCTTTCCTGGGGCCTGCCCATATTTCCTGCCGCCTGTCTTTCGAGGATCGCCTTCCAGGCCTCCTCGAGGTGATACTTAAACAGCGCCGGCGAAACAATCGTGAGCTGGATGATCAGGCCTTCTGGGGTCTCGACCTCAAAGGGAGTCTTCAGGGTCCAGTTGATTCTCGCGAGGCTCAATATCGCGGCTCCTACGGATCTTCTGCAAATCGCCAATTTCTTGGGGGGTTCTTCATGACGTTCAGGACTTCGTCTCGGAACTCACCGCGCGTCATCCCCAAAAGCGCGGCCTGGGTCGAAAGCCGCCTCGCCAGAAGCCCATAGTAGATGACAGGCCCCAGACCGGCCTTCCACGTCGGGCCCGGAACGGGACCTCGCGTGACTCCGTGACCCCACAATGCTAAGATGTATACTTTGACTTTGACGGACCTCGTTGATCGTGGGCCCTACCACCTCGGTTCCATAATGGTTGGCTTGGTCCAAGCCTGTTCTGTGCAACTTGCGCGCGTCTGCGCCGGCCTGCTTCAGCGCCATCAGCTTGCGTTTGCGGAGACGAAGCCTGGTGAAGCGCCCGCGGGGAATGGCTCGCCCCCTGCGAGAGCGGGCCATCCCTCCATCCCTCCTGCCGTGTAATCGATGCCTAGGCTGGCCGCCGAATCTATCCGCTCCTCCGTCTGGGGCCCGGCCAAGGGTCCCAGGGCTCGAACGAGAGGCTTTCGGACCGACTGCGACGACGCGAGGACCGCCGATTTGCGTTAGGCGATTGTACATCCCAGGTCGATCTCGATCGAATCTTCCGTGCTGGAGGCGGCGGAGGAGAGGTTAGCGACTAGTTTCACGGGGCTCTTATCTTGGCTCTGGAGGAGAAGGTCATCTGCAAACATGCGGAGGTCTATATTCGGATTGTCTTGGGCCCAGACGTCGAGCGGGAAAAAGCAAAACATCCGGACGATGAACGTAGCGAAACTGCAGCCCGCAAAGATTCCATACTGCGGGCTGCCCACAAAAGTTGCTGGTCCTTGACTCGCAACAAGCCTTGGACCTCCGTGCTGATGATAAATCATGGTGGCGATGGCCTGATTGAGCTTGGTTCCGACAGCTCGAGTAAACCATGTATCTCGATCGATATGCACGTAATAATTTGAAAGGTCCCACAGGGTGGCTGCCGCGTACCTGGCGGCCTCCTCGTAGTGGGCCGATTCGGCCTGAAAAGCTTAAAAGTATACGGTTTCCAGAATCCTCGGCCCGACTGGTGGGCCAAATACGGTCTTCTGTTGCCTCCCTCCCATTTTCTAGCCACGGGTTGACGCGCGCGGGCCCGGGTCCTCCAAATCGGTGCCATTAAACCAAATGCCGCGATAGCTGGGAATCTCTGTCGACTCCTGCTGCTTATGCCTGGGGATCCAGATGGTGACGGTGGCTCTCGCCTGCGTCGGGAAGATCCCCGCCTCCTCGCAAGCGTTGAGGAAACGGGCGACGAATTCTCGCTCAGCGCGCGGCAGCAAGGAAACATGCCCAGGGTGAAAGCCATCGCAGGTGGACGCCACGTCGCGGCTGAAGGCCCGGGTGGCCTGGAGTACATCTTCCGCGGTGAACGGGGTGAGCTCTCTAAGATCCTCTGGGTCTGGTCTTTTCTGTCTTTGAAGGTTCCCTTGGGGTTCGGTCGTCCAGGTACTGGTTAGCCTGTTAGCTTCGGCGAACAGCAGCTCGGACGGTCGCCCAGTCCATCTACCTTCACCTGGCTTCCAAATTCTCTGAGGCCCCCCCGCCGATGGGTCCTTGGACCACTTAGTGGCCCCATCCTACCCCGCGAAGCATGCTGGATTTTGCCCGGTCCTTCCACTCGTCGGCCTCGGTGGTTTTGTCTCGCTGAATTTCTCGGTCGAGGCCTTCGTCGGCGTCGGCGAAAATCGCGTCGAAGATTTCTCGGGCCACATGTACATTCAGGCTGCCGTTCGCGTAGTCTAGCAGCACCGTCTGGGCCGCAGCACCATTCCCAAGAGGGGCCCCAGGTCCTCACTCTCGTCGAACGCGCTCGGGTGGGGCGGGCGATCCCCAGAGGCATCCTGGAAATCGAGATTCCGAAAACTCGTGCTTATCTAGGGCTCGGCGCACGCCCGTCAGCTTGTTCTCAGGCCAGCGGAGGGGCCCAGCGAAAGATCTCCAACTACGTCTGCGATACGCTTCGGCTTCCCGCGCTGGCACCCGTTTCATGTGAGGCCCCTGGCCCCGTACTCGTTGGCTTGTCAAGGGGGCGTCGGTGATCGTGCTGATGTGATTCGCCAGGTCCGTGGCAAGCGTCTGGTAGGTTTCGTTCAGGGCGCCCTCCAGTTCTCTGAAGTTCAACTGCTGGCCCGGGACAGCTTCCATCTGGCCCTGGGCGGCGCTCGGTTTAACCCATTCTTGCGTTTGCTTCAAGGGGCCCACAGGGGTCTCGGTCGGGGGCTTCTGGGGCTTGACCAGCACAAGAAGTAAGAAAGGCGACCCCACGGCCAAGTCAAAGTACACGGGCCTGCGGGGGCTGATGGGGGCACCGCGCGAGGACCACGGGCCCCCGCGCATGATATTGGAAGCACTTGGAGATTAGGAAATAGTCGATAGGGGACTTAGTCTCATTGGTGTAGAGGGTCGGCTCCGATGGAGCCAGCATACATGCACCCGAACGCGCAGAATAATCGGATCGGAGGAGCTCGGCGGGGGAGAGGTTGAAGTCGCCTGCGACCACCAGCGGCAGGCGGCGCTCCTGCGCGAGCTGCGCGACCCGCGCAAGCAAGGCGAGGCTAGTCTCGTTCAAACTACCTTGTCTTCTAAGTAGGCAGAAAACACTAGAAACGGGGAGTCGCCAGGCACCTCCAGAGCCACTGCAGCGACTCCCCCAGACGGCGCATTGGTCTCGAAATCGGTCTTGACAATCCCAACATCGAACCCCTGACGCATTAGGATGGCGGTTCCTTGAATGATAGCCCCACATTCAGAACGGACCCCCTCCGAGAACACGGCGTTCCAACCCCGTTTGGCACACCATTGAACAGCTTCCAAGACTTCGGCCCCTCGCAACATGGTTCCCTGGCAGCATATGATCTGAAACTGGCGAGGCTCAAAATGGAACTTGACAGAAGTCTCGACGCTTCTCCAGCAACTGCCACTGATTGAAACAATTCGGCGGTTACCCACCTGACGGCCTGCTCGCCTCGGCCGCAGCGCCAGCTGGCGGGGGGGGCCTTCCCCCGGCCGCGCTGGCGGAGGCGGCGCGCCGCGTCTGCCGCCGACGGGCCCACGGCGCCGTTGACCTGAAGTTGCGTCGCCGAGTCGATCGCCCGCGAGATGCGCCTGGCTCCCGCCTCCAAGCCCAGGGGCCCCCGGGTGTCCATGAGCTCGGCGTCGTCCGACTCCTGCCCCGCGGGGGCGTCGGTGGCCCCCTCCGCTGGCGCGGGCGGCGTGGCCGCCACGGCTGCTAGCTGCGAGGCCTGCCCACCGGCGGCGGCAGCGGGCTGCGGGGGCGCCCTGAAGGCGGCAGCAGCGGCAGCCTTTTTGCACCCTGTGTTGAGCTTGGCGGCCAAGGCGTCGATCTCCTGCTGGAACTCGGCCGGATAGGCCATGCCTCCGAACATCGACTGGGCGAAGGCCACGAGGGCGTCGGCTGCTGGCGTCGAAGTGGCGCGCTTCGCCACCGCCGCCGTCGCCGCCGCCTTGAGCTGGGCCGCCAGCAGCCGGATTTCCGCCTGGACCTCGTTGCACCCCTTGGCAGTCTCCAGGCACTTGGTCGTGAGGGATTCCAACTTCTCGATGCGCCATTGTGCATCACGTTGTATCTCCGCCAATTTCTCGCGTTGGGCCGCGAGCTGGGCGTCGAGGCTCTGCGTTTGCTGGTCTGGCGACTTGGAAGCCAATGCTGCGGACTTCGCCGCCTGGAACTCCCTCCACCTGCGCCTGCTTGTCGCGCGCCCCCCCGATCCCTTCGATGCTCTGCCAGAACGCGACCGCCTTGATGCAGGCTGAGACGGGATCCAACTCATCGGCGCCTTCTGAGACGTCTGCGGCGGGGCCCCCGAACGAGCGCCGAGCTGCGCGACCATCGGTTGGCGCGGCCCTTCGAAGTGGAGCGCGCGGGGGTCGGGGCTGGCGTCGGGGCCGAGGAGGTCGCAAAACTGGCACCGCATTTCCCACAGTGGCTGCGCTGGAGATCTGCCCACGACCATCCCCCACATGACGGCGCACTGCAGACCAGGTAGTTCATCTGGGCTCGCGACTGGCTCCTCGGCGCGCGTTGATCGCGCCCTCCGCGATCTCGGCGGCGGGCCCCTGCGGGCGGCGCGTCGCACCCCGTGCTGCCGGCGCGGCGGGGGGGGCGGGCGCCCGCGAGGAGGCGGCGGCTATGGCGGCGGCCCCTCGGGGCCGCAAAGAAGGCCGCCGCGGCGCGCTGCTGGCCGAGGCAGCCAGGCCCGAGGAAGGGGCTGCCCTTCCGCCTCGACCCCGGGCCCCGGGAGTCGGGGCGGGAAGGGGAGGGGGGGGGGGGGCGGCGGGCTCGCGCGCATATATATATATATATATATATATATATATAAAATTACTATAATAGTTTTATATATAGATGTATAATATATAAATATGAATATATAATATATATATATATATATATAAAGAGGAAAAAAAGAGGAGAAAGAAAACAAAAAAAAAAAAAAAAAAAAAAAAAAAAAAAAAAAAAAAAAAAAACAAAAAAAAAAAAAACGGGGGGGGGGAGGGCGGGGGGGGGGAGAGAAACAACCGGAGAAAGAGAAAAAAGGAGGAGACGGGGGGGGGGGGGGGGGAGGAGGAGGGGGAGGGGAGGAAGGCCAGGAGGAGAGGAGGAGGAGGAGGGAGGAGGAGGAAAAGGAAAAGGAGGAGGAGGAGGAAGAGGAGGAGGAGGAGGAGGAGGAGGAGGAGGAGGAGGGAGAGGAGGAAGAGGAAGAGGAGGAAGAGGGTATTTGACCTTACTGCGGCGGGCAACTCCGTGATGGATGGGGGCCCAGTGGCCGGATCAGGCTATCTCGGGAACAGTCACCCAGCTCTTCGGCGAGGGCCCTCGAGAGCGGCGCGACAAGACGCTCGGCCTTGCCTTGATCGGGGGCCGAGGCGGGGTCGAAAAGGAGCCCCGAGTTCAATCGACGGTGTGAGAAGAAGGGGGCCGAAGGGAAAGTGCAGGGGCAACGGGCAGCTCTGGGGCCCGCCCTCAATGGAGGCACCCCACAGCATGGCTGAACTCAACGGTCTTGCCTCGGAATGCCTGGAACCTGCGGCTGCAAACTTGGCGCTGCCCCGGATAAGCACAAACGCGCGGCCCGCAGCCGACGTCGGCGGTGGACAAACCTCCATTCTGTAAACCACCATTTAGTGGAAAACGGCCTAGGACCGAAACCGACGGACCTGGACCCGCAAAAATGACGGCCGCGACGCCCTCGCGAAACCTCGAAAACAACCGATTTGCTAATCGACTTGAGGGTGGGGGGCCCACCAACCTCCGAATACGGCCCCTGCAAACGGACAGCGTTAGCGGAAAGGGCCCGAAGGCAGGGGGCGGGG